TATGAGTCTCCCAGACGCTGACAAAATAAGCAATATGTGGCGATCATTGAGTTTCACGTTCTGAAGAATTGTCTTCAGAAAGCCCAAATATATGCCAAAGATATTTGAACATTGTTTTTTATTGCTTCCTCCTCTGCTTATTTGAGATGGTTACATGCACCTTGTAGACCCCTAAAACAAGGCAGAGATATGTCTGTACTGTAACATTGAAACTCTTCTTTGATAAGTATCATGTTTGAAGTTTGGATCCACCATTTCTAAATCCCAGACTAATGTTCTGTCACCGTCTCCTTGTGTCAGATCTCCTCTCTGCAGGACACTCCAGAGCTGTTGGGTTTCCTGAGGAACACCACTGATCCTCCTCACCGCCACAAAAGATCTGTCAGCACAGCTGAAAGTTATAGCAGCAAGACCTTGGTGAGTGCCCCCGGCTTCTCTCAAGAAAACAAGCTAGAAAAACATTCATTAGTGATTCACAGGTGCTTCATGTCTGTCTTCCTACTTTCCACATTCAGAACTGCACCAACATCTCCTGTCTGAGGATTACGTGTGTGGTTGGTCGGTTGGATCGAGGCCAGAGTGCTGTGCTTAAGATTAGATCGAGACTGTGGGCACACACATTTCTACAGGTAGTAATTCTTAAATTTTATAAATTATTTAAATATTGCGCTTTGAGTATTTTCACACCCATTAAGTTGTGTGTTTTATCTTAAAGCGGCGTAACGACCCATACATCCTCAACTCAACGGTATCCTTCGTGGTCATATCTGTGCCTTATCGTGTCCAGCCCCCTGCTCTGCCTCAACACAGAATATCAGTAAGAAAGAAACAGTAAACAATCACTTTGCATGTATATTCTCAGGTGGGAAAAATAAATCTGGCATCATTTGCATCTCTTTTTCTCCAGATGGGGACCCTCGTGTTATGGGGGACTCCTGATGTGTCGTTTGCTGTTCCACTATGGGTCATCATTCTGGCCATACTGCTAGGCCTGCTGGTGCTGGCCATGCTGACATTAGCTATGTGGAAGGTAAATAAGCACAAGTAGTTTTCACAGTGCAACACTCTTGTTCTAATTCTGATTTTTAAAGATTTTGGTTCTGAAAAGGAAGAACATTCTTCTGGTTTGTGGCACTCAACAGTTCCTGAGGCTACCATAAGCTTTTGAAAGTTTTTAATTGGACTTTTCTTCTTTTCTGACATTTTCTATTTAGTCCTTATACCTCACTATGTCAACATAACATGCAGATATTTTCTGTGTTTTTATAGTTCTAAGACAAACTAGAATAATTCAGGGGTTATTTTGTAAAGTTTTTAAGGATGTGACCAAAGATTCAGGTAAAAATGTTTTTTTTTTCATCACTCTTAGATAAGCTCACTGAGAGTTGCTATAGACTGCTGCTCACCCTGTCACCCTTTCCTCTTCTCATCACTAAATACAGTGGCAGGATGTCTTATTGTTTGGTCACAATATTTAGCACTTTCAATATCTGGCCAGAGGACATAACTCCTTTTGTTCAACTTACATGCACAGTTTGGAGGTGTGTGCCCTACTCCTTAGAATCAGACACCAGTGCAAAACAGCTGTCTGCTGATAGCACAAATCTATCAGCAGACCTGAATTCAAGGCGACTGATTATAGCACTATATGTATTGCCATGATGTTCTAGGATTGCCCATTTTAGCTGCTTGCTGAGATCCTTCAGGATGCTGCCAGAGCAGAGGCAGGGCATCCTGAAGCACCGCTAAGAACAGTATGATAAATTACGAGAAGCCACCTGCCCACTGTGGAGTGGATTTTCTGGATAATATTCTAGCTGTGGCATAAGGCCCGAGGAGACATGAGAAGGTCATGCTGGTAGATGAAGGCTATACCTCACTAATAAGCAGCCTTCATGGTCATCAGGTTCCTCTTTGCAGTTGGAAACAGATAAAGCTTCATATGTCCACTACCGGTTCATAGGTCCACTACCGGTTCATATGTCCACTACCGGTTCATAGGTCCACTACCGGTTCATAGGTCCACTACCGGTTCGAAATAACAACAAAAAATATGTTCTTACTCTCCTCAACCAGTTTTGAAGCTATGAAGGAATAATAAAGCAGCTATTATCAGATATTACCGCAATAAACTGCAATAGGCATTCACCATATTTTAAATTGGAAAGGCTAAGGCCAGTTTAGGTGCAATATTTCATATGCTCTTCAGCCAACTAATTTCTTTGCCCAGTTGAATACACTTTCACTCTGCTTAATATCCAGAAGGTATACATTTCAGTCGCTAAAGCTTACAGAAAGTGTTGGAGAAACTGTGAGGACAGAAAACAAGAGTGAGGGAAAACATAGATTGGACAGAACAATTCTGAACTATGATTTCAAACTTATTTGATTTTCCAGAGTCTCAGTCCTAGAGTGGAAACTGACATAAAACCAGAAAAAGTCCAAAGAAAAACTTTGAAAGATCTTAAAGTGCAACCATTAATCAAGACCTATTGACTCAGAACTTGAAACTTTGGCACAGTTTTCTAATACAGTTTCTTTAATATGTCTTTGACAGCATTTTTGTTCTGTTGCATATTGACTTCTGAATGTGATTCCCTCAGTGTGGTTTCTTCGATCGAGCACGGCCGCCAGCAGATGATGATGTCTCTGACCAGGAGAAGTTAACGTCTGATCAAACTGGGGATGCCTGAAGAAAATGAATGACAGCACTTGATTAAAAGCTTGTGGTTTGGGAGGAAGCTGCACCTTCTGAATGACCTAAATCAGATCTGAGATCTGTAATATCTGGAAGCTCCAGTCCCTGTTTTGGATGTCTTCTACCTCCTTTTGTTTAAACAAAAACTGACTAAAAGCAAAAAACTGCAGTGCCACAAACTCTGGGACCAGAACAAGTGAGGTCACAGCACACAAAGTGGGACAAAACAACACACAAGTCAGGCTAAATTACCCACACATGTCAGCTGTTTATACATTGCAATGAAGCACCACAACTGAAGTCCGAGTGGATTATGTTGAGAGGACAAAAACTTGTTGTTTTTGTGCAACATACAAAAACGACAGATCAATGCACAAGTGCATTTAACGAGTTTCAGTAAGTGTGTATTAGTTCCTGCAAATCTGTCTGTAAGAAGTGTAGCTTATGGATTTATAATCCACAGAACTTAATCTCTCCCTGTTTCCTTCAAACCAAGCTGAATACCTTGCAGTTTACATTTACATTCACTAAACACGCTACCACATGCATACGTTATAGAAAAGGGGCACAAAGTCAAAGTGTATATTTATAAATGTACGTGCAATATTTGGGTGTTGTGTGATTCTGAAGCTTGTTGTTACACTGGCACTACTTTTTTAGAGCTTCATGTCTTCATTGTATGTGTATATACTGTAAGATTGGTTGGTTGTTGTGTTAGATAAGTATTATTTCTAAAAGCAACACATTAGACAAGTACCAACATGATGAAACTGTTACAAAATAAATAACTTATTGTCTCGTTGCAGCTCTGGGGTTGTATGTTTAAAGAAAAAGAGCACAACTCAAGCTTCACACTGCTTGCTTAAGTTTGCAAACCGTTGAGTTTTTTTCTCTGGAGAAGATGAGACTTTATGAACGACACATAGCAGTAAAAGAAATAATATTGTTGACATTCACACATCAGATTGCATGTTTATTCAGGTGTTTTTAGTGTGAATAAACATCAGTCAGAAAGTATCCGGTTGTCAGCAACGCTGTAATTTAAAAATGTTAAGTTTAAGGTTTAAGCAAGCTTTCGTTTTGGCATAAATTGTGAAGGTTTATCGAAATAAAACTTTGGTTATTAAAGGATTTTGGTGGTTTGCTTTAAATGCGCAGGTAAGTCTCACAGTGTTACTGCTGGGTTTCTTTACTTCAGAGGGAAGGACTCTTGCTCCCCCAAACGGTGCATTGAAAAATGCTGACTTTCTTTCTGGCCATGCAGAAAACAAGTGACAACAAAAGCAGAACAGTGCCACCATGTGGCTTTTAGCTGAATAACGTTTCATGGTGGTTTCTGCTGACAAGAACAGTTAAGCGAGGAACTGTCTCTCCAGCTTGAAAGTCATTTAAACACTTTTCTTATACCTGTTTTCTGTTTCTATTTAGACTCTTTTTCATTCAGAACATTTTCAGTACAGCAGCAGCTTGAAACAATACAAGCCGGGTTCTCTTTGAAAGAGAACGCATCCATTAATTGTGGTTATGTTTTTATTTCAATTGAAACTAATCAACCTATCAAAACTTCATTGTAACTGTACATCTGAGTTTGAATCAAAACACAAAGTGGTATTTATTAGGTTGTAAAAAAAAAAAAAAAAACGTGATTACTGTCCATATACAATAAGTCAGTTATTAAGGAGATTTAAGGTCATAAACTTTATGAAACATATGCATTAGGACTTTTGAATTCATCATTGGAACATGATTTTGTATTTTAGTTCAGTTTTAGCCACTGCGAATTATCATAATTTGTTTTATTTGCTAAAACAAAACCTTCAAATTAAAATTTGCATGATCTGAAGCCCTAAATTTATCTAAGATGTTTGATATGGCACTGACTTTTGGTGTGTGTTACTCTGGAATTGGAAAGTTTACTCTAGAAAATATAAACACAAGAGGAAAAGTGAAGATATTTTCAGGTCCAACTGAATTAAAACATTTGTCAATATCACTGCTGGCAAACCACATAGTACATTCAAAATATTGCCAAAGCACATTGTATCTTTCACCTTTCCAAAACAACAAGCTCTCTCTATGCCAGACTTTAATGTTGGTGTAAATTTAACTCCTTGAAGAAGATTTTATACCTATTGAACTTTATGAAGTGTAATATTCAAGCCCTGCTATTAAAAAGCATTTTAAGTTGCTGGTGTAATTGGACAAATTGTGTAAATGTTTAAGTGGTGCAAATACTTTGCATGACATCATTTGAACCTTAGTATGAATTATTATTGAGGAAAAACCACATCCTGCATTTTTTTCTTGAGACTCTTTATTTCCTTGAATATACGTGATAAAAATTCAAATCAAACATTTGAAGTAAGAATTTTAACAACAAATATCAACACCATCAAAATAAAGAAACATTGGTACTTACTACATACTGTATTGATAGGACACACTGTATCTTATACAGAAATTCATCCAAACAGACTCCAGTTACAAAAGATTTTTTAAAGTCTTTGACTCCCACTGTTTCCTGGGTTGTTTAAGCTGGTGCAAAAGAAAACATCTTAGGTGAAGCAACATCTTGTGTGTTATTCAACTGAACAGTGACAATTTAAATTGTTTTATAGGTCTGTACAAGGCGATGAGAGTTACTTCTCTTCAGTGGGAATAAGAACAGACCGACATTATAATGGAAGACTTTGGCTATTTACAAATTGTCAAGATGTCTAACAAACAAACTGGTATTTTTCTAAGAGAGATTGTTTGTTGCTTCTATGCATTTGTCACACCGACATCCTCACTCTAATACACCGATATGTCAAAGTGCAGTTTCAAAGATCACCACTTTTATGCCATTCTTAACATTGCACAGACAAACTGTGAAATTACTCATTTACAGGCGCCATCTGTAACCAAAATGGTTCCTTTTTCCATATTAAACCTTCAGATTAATGCTGGTGTCTGTTTTAAAGCCTCTTCACATCTGTGGCACCTGTACTCCAACTTCTGAAGTGACTTTCTTGCGTCTTGTTTTACTCTACAGACTCTACACCTGCTCATTTTTACTGCTCTGTTTAACTCACAGCTCAGCATATGTGAAATTGTCTGCATCAGCAAGGTTCTTACAAATCAGCCTGGAGATAAGGTCCTCTTACTGACAGCACATCCCATCAGAAGACAGCAAGCATTTCTTTTATGTTGGTTGCTGTAAAATGCTGATGGGCCCCGCATCTTCCCGCCCCTGGTACAGATGGGTAAAAAGTCTGAAATAAACGCATATTTTTATTCCCACAACATAATCTCACACCGAAACATAAGTCCAACTTTTAATACTATTCAGTTCGGTGGGAAAAAACATCCAAATGAATAAAAAAATGTTTTAATAAACTTACCAATGACACATTTATTAGAACCACTAACTATATAAGCAGAATTAATATTTCTCTCTTTTTAATTTGATGAGTGCATCCTGGAACTTTGACATGTAATTTCATTGATTACATGTCATGATTAAGATGCATATATTTTCTAATCCATCTTCAAAATTGCAAAGATGAGAGAATGTGCCACTACACCAAATCAGAGTGTTTATCTTCATTAGTAAGTCATTTTCGTAATGAAAGTTATTTCTGACTAAAATCAGCTTATTTCAACAGTAATAGCAACAATTAAGTTTTAAGCAATGGGAAATGTTACAAACAAGAATGGATGATGACACAAATTTAGCTTATTACCAAATCTGTGTATTAATAATTGCCATTTGGGTTTACCAAGTCTCTAAAAGGACCATTAATTTCCAGGCTTTTCCACACATATTTAACAGGGGAGCCAATAATTGTGGAGGGTTTTGTAGGTCTCTAATGAATAAGCAATTTTAAACACAGTGTATAGTTGATTCCAAAATTAATCATACCTCTGGCAGATTCAACCTTAAGGTAATCTTTTAATTTAGCCTGCATGATTGTTTCAACCAGAAGCTGAAATAGTCTGGGTTTCTGTCTTTTACCTCATAAAGACTCTATGAAAGTAGCTAAACATTTCAGTGATTGCAAGGAGGATTTCAAACCTGAAATACTGCAAAGATAAATTGAATGTGTCTGAAAACCAAAATATTTCAACTTTAAGCATAGTGTAGAGTTTGCTGTAGAGTTTTTGCAATTTTTTCAAAACAATAAAATCTGTAAACAGTTTATAAATATTTGTATTACAGTTTAATGCAGGCGACAGCATGACGTATGGATTTGTTGGCCATAAGAAAACTTTCAGTTACCACAGACCATGTAAAAGGTGAATGTAGCATCTTGATCCACAAACCTATGGAAACACAGATGGGGGAGGGAAAAAAGCTCTGACAACTGTGGCATTTTACTGTAAACCTGCAATAATGAAATAAAAAAGCAGAATTTTTTATATATAAAATACAGAAGATTTTTTACATAAGTCATTTTGAGCGTACTGGCTATGTCAAACCCTTATTATTAGTGCAATTAATTCAGAATACTATAAAGTTTCTTGAAGGAGAAATAAGGCAGAAACATCTTTGCTTTTCCAGAATGAATAAAAAAAGAATAAAACTGCTTTTTGTTTTCAGTCTGAAATATTTGCCAGTATTTGCTTCAATATGTAATGATTCTAAAGAGCAGATTTCATTACTAGTACATATTTTCTAAACAAGCAACATGTTCAATTTACTTTGACGTTGAAGTATTGATAATATAAATAGCAAATGAACAAACCGGTGAACTAGCTTTTTTCTTTTTGTGTGTGAAATTTGAATGTGACATCCAATAATTAGATAATTTTTTTCAGATTAAAATATATTCGTTTTCCAACTTAGAGTGTCTGCACTTTTAAACAGAAGTTTAAAATGTATATTAGACAGACATCGGTGTGTTTTAACTTTTCTCCTATTAGTTTTGATATAATTTGTTCTGATTTAATTAATCAATTCGCCAAGTCCTTTAGGGTTTTTTACCTATTGTAGCAAAATTACATTTAGTTTTATTTGATCTTATGTCCAAGAAATAATAGGAACCATTAGCATCTCATAACCAGAATCGCAGCAGCTCGGCGTCCGCTCTGGTATTCACATTAGACTAGAAAATAAATATTCAAAAATGGGCCCGGTGCCAAATTCAAAGATGCAGAAATAAACAACAGAACATTAATTTCCATGATGCTACATCCACTTCCTTTACATCAGTCTATGACCATAACATTTCAATCAGAAATCAACTCAACATTTCATTAGTTGGTCTGTCTCATAACATGTCAGCACAATATTTGAAAAACAATTCACTTTGGAAAACTACAAACATGAGCCAAGTGAGGAGAAAGAAAATACCTATTAAGACAAACAGTAGTTATACTTTGTAACAGTGAAGGATATAAGACCACATCATTGAAGGAGAACAGTCAGAGGGCAGTGTTTTTTTTTTTTTTTGTTGTTGTTGCTCTTGTTTCATTTTTTTCTTTTTTAATAGCCTGAGCAGTCGCACGCAAACAGAACAGTCTGATTTCTGGGTATACAATAAACACCTCTAAGGAGTTTAATGGCTATTAGAATAAACTGCAGTCCATTTTTCACACAAACTAAACTTTGAGGAGCCTCAGCAACGACGGTGTTCCCAAAAGAGACCTAGCACATTCATGAACATTTGATCAACACCAGAGTCGAAACAAACAATAGCAGAACTTGTTGGTGTTGGTGAGTCAATGGAATGATTGAAGAAGGAGGCTTTGTGGCACATACAGTACATTAAAAGGTTAGATTACACTCTGTACACTCTCTAAGATACAATTTCACTGTACATGATCAGCACTAGGTGGCTAGTTAGCTCCGCATCTCTTTCTTTCTCTGAATAGTAGCTTTATAAATCCTCAGAAAAATAAAATTTGCTTCATGTCCATTTACATTCTATATTGGTGTCTCTCATTGACAAACCTGCAAAACATGTAAAGTGATAAGAAAAAGTCTCTTTTATTGTTATATCTAAAAACTGCAAGGGAGGTTCAACATTGCTAACAAGCTCCAACTGGACGCTCCATCAAAGTGCTGCTTTTCAACACACACACATACACACATTTGACTAATGACATGGGAATGCTATCTCAGGTCTTCCCACATACACACACACACACACACACACACACCACAACAAATACCATCTGTTCCCTACACTTTCTTCCTGAGAATGAACTGTAGAAGGTCTCCTTTTTCTAAAACAGCAACACAAAGATTTTGGTGTTTTAATCTGAACACCTTCACTCTAATATATCAGGAACTGACCTGAGAGAGACGAACCAATGTTAAGGTTTCAATGTAAAACCCGATGTACTGCTGTAAACTTGATGCATGCGAAATATCAAGGCCTTGGTGTTTGTAAAATATGCAAAGTAGCAACAATGAGACCAGTCGCCCATTAACCTGAACCCTTTGCCATTATTTGCAGACAGAAAGACAACTTTTCTTAGCCGGGCCTTTAGGTCAATTCTGGTGGAAAATCTTATGAAACAAATTGTGGCAGCAGCATTTTGTATGCAATTAAAATCAGCAAAAGATGTACATTTTAACTTTTTACAGCTCAAGAGGGATACTAACCACCACTAATAAAGCAATATTCTCAACTCACTTGATAAAATATTCATCTGGTTATGTAGTTTCCACACGGCATGTAAATAAGGAAAGATGAACTCGCCTTAATTATCATCGGGAGTTTTGAACTGAATTTCAGTTGTAGCGAATTAGGCTCAATCTCAATGCTTTTTGTTTTGTTGTTTTGTACTTTTTTCAAACTTTTTTTAAAATCAAAAGCCAGAAAAAAATTGATTGAGCCACATCTAAAAGTCAAAATTATGACTTGAGAAGTGAAGTTTACCACCAAACCTCTCCAAAATTCCAATATAGCTGCCATTTACATGTCTTGAGTAAAACTTTGCACATATTAGTTACTCACAAGTTACATCACAACCTCTGCTATTAAACAGGTAGCTATAGTGACTAAATAAAACAAAAGTTGGTGAAAATGCATTGTCTGAGTTGTGCTTCTTTTGGTAATTAGGTTGTTCACTGATCTGCACAAGTTTTCTGACTAGCAACAAAATATTAGGAGTGACTTTTGCAAACCCAACTAACAAGATCCCAGCACATTTATAAAAATAAAATAGCCTTTTTTTTTTTGCTGGAGTCCTGACCCACAGCTCACCATACCTTTGATGTAATAACACCATTTGGAAGTTTCACACCTGCTTTTTCTAAATTTCTATAGCAGTTTGACTCTTCAGTCAGATTTTTCTAGTTGCATGTTGGAAAAACTACAGAGATATTTAAGCTTGCAGGTAGGATGTGGTGATGTTGGTGCACCTGTATCCTCAGATCCAAGTTTGCAGCTTAACGCTATCTAGCATGTAAACAGGAAGTAAAGAGTCAAGCAAGTTGTGTGTTTTTCTGAACTTGTGTATATTAATACAAACGATTTTTGAGTATGGGTATTTATAAATAATACAGTATTTTTGCAGTTGCTTAATTTTTTAGGAGTAAATCTTCTGTTGACTAAAACTGCTGTTTCCCTGAGCAGCTATGGGAAGCTTAGGGGTCAGGAAGTAAATAGTAGAGTGATTGATTGCTGTCCCCAGTTTCAAGACTCAAGCTGGTTTTATGTTTTTCTTTGAAAAGAGTTTCTATCGTTAGTGGAGGTTTGACTGCATATTCTAAGGGCAAATGTTTTGTATTAAAGACCCAACATATTGTGAGTATTTTTTTATTTTATTAGAGAGTGACTTAAAGCCTGTTGTGTTATCTGAATCTTGAGACTCTTTAGTGCTAGACTTGTCTGTGTACTAAGGTTAAGATTCATGGGACATCATCTATTTAAGGGGTGGTAAAGTGTGAATTTTGCAGGCACATAGCGCCATTTTATAGCTCATTCAAGTAACTATGTTACTGTAAAACTTGTGGGTGTCCAGACATTGATCGTTCTTTGTAGAATAATCCACAGAATTAATCAGCTGTCACCAACTCAGCTGTCCCACACTCCTGAACGTTCACCCCCCTTTGCCCCATCGAGGGAGCCTTTCAAAATAAAACATTTCCAAAACATTTTACATTTTCAAAACCCCAAATTTCAGTCTTACATTACCTTTAATTGTAAAAAAAAAATAAAAATGCTGCATATGTGAACATATTTGAAATTAATTTGTTTTTGCAATTTGATGCCTTGAAATTAGGCCTCTGTCTCTTTAAAAAGTGCCTGCTCTTTCCAATCCTCCCCTTTCAGCATGTCTTCACAACAATACTCCTCCATTGTACTACTATTTGTAGGAGCACTGAGCTGCAAAAATGCAAATTCGCATTTCTACCAGGTGTTTGCTAAATGCTGCTGCCGCTATTCTGGTGGAGCGGAGCGAGGAAGGAGCAGCTCTCAGCTGCGGACTGAAGAACCAAGGAAGAAATTTGTGAAAAGTGACGGCGCATTGTATGAGCAACGCTTAGATACCTTTAAGCTGAGCCATTGGAGATCTAAGGAGTTCTCAATTATGCATGAAAGAATCATAGCAACACTGCAGGTATGATAAATATCAGGGCAGAAATATTGGTGAAGCGACCACTCCTCACATATATTACTTCAGTCCTGTTTTATTCTCCTGTTACATAGTTGCAATTTATTAGTTTTTGCTCTCAATAATAAACCAATACAAATGCACTGACACAGTTTGTGTGTGTCCAACAAAAATAAGTTGAGTTAGTAGCCATATTTAATATCGTAGAAGGGCTAGCTCTGACAGAACTCAGTTATTAACATTTTATTGAAATGTTAACTTTTAATAATCTCTGTGTTAAAAAAACTAATAAGCATAAGCCACGAATAATGTACCCTGAAACATGCATTCCTTTAAGGAAAGTTTCAGAGTAGTGAACCAAGAAATACCATCATGGGACGAGCCGGTTTCAACAGCATTGCATCAGACTCTAAGCCACATTCTCATTTTACACATCAGGCTGGTAACAAACAGCACATGCATGACTTGATGAGTCACTACCAACAGAATTATTACATTCAAGCCTTCTTAGTCATCATTTCCACGACTTGGACCGAGTTCGCAGCTAACAGTATCGCCTCATATCCTTTGCTCCATTTGACAGCCACAGCAAAAAAAAAAGCATACACACCAACAACCAAACACAAACATTCGCACAGAGGAACGAGGCCTCTCACGACAACTCAGGCAGTCATGATGGTGTGAAAGTTATAATAGTACAAAAGTCAATTCAGAACAGTGAGACAGAAAAGCTCTCAGCCAACCCAATCAATCACCGTCCTAAAAACACCAAATGTCTCTTACTCAACCTTCCACTCACACACTTCTTCAAACATGTCGACAGTGTCTGTGCTTCATTGTGTTAATAGAAAAATCATTCTCGTCCCACATAAATCCCTCTTATAACAGACTTCCACCATTCATGATCAACATTCACTTTGCATTCATTGTTGCTTTCAGCATTGATTGCACTGATCTTGTGTGTTACCACTTGTCAAGGTGCTCTACGTTACTTCTTCCTTGTGTGAAAGAAAACATGTATATCCTGCAAAATCTCAGGCTATATTACAGTAGTCATGATTGAGCGAAAAGAGAGAGAAGCTAAACACAAAGCTGACAATGGGTATTTTAAAATTCTCTTAACAGTCAACTCTTTTCTTTAAGAATCTTTCGCCCCCAGCGCTTGAGTGGCCCTCTATGCTGATTTTGACTTCCTGGGGTAGAAAGGAGGGCTTAGGCAGAGTCACAGGTGGCTCTTCTTCAGCTTTCTCAGTCTGGTCTCGCTCTGGAGCTGACCAGCGTCTCTTGCGAACAAAAGGTCTCTCTGGATCAGAACAAAGGGCAGATATGTCTGTTTTCAGTGGTTCCTGTCTTACTTCTGCCCCCCCAGAGACTGCCAGCATTGGTCCACCTCTGAACATCCTCTCTGCTTGTTCTGGAGATGGTGATGTTACGAACCCACCGGTTTGTCCTGCTCCAAGACCAGAAACATGAAGTTTCTCCATCCTGTTGGCAGTGGAAGCCTTCATGAGGAGACTACCGTTACTGCCAGGAGGGTTGGGATTGATATTGTTCGTCACATTAGGATCCACGCAGTGGGACAGGTCAGAGAGTGAACCCATCTTCAGTTTGGTCCCCAATGCTTGACTATCTGCCAAGGAACCATTCCTCAAACTGCGGAGGGTCAGTGACACACACACATCACCGACACACAGCTTGGCACATGACAACTCAAACAATTGCGTGGTCCGGTCAGGACAGCAAGATGACCAGCCCTGGCCGAAAACAAAGAATGGATACTCCACCAGCACCTCTACACACACCTAGACGGGAGTATAAACACAAGAGACACATATTATTAAGACTTTTTTATTTTGTCTTTGAGTGTGAAAGACAAATCTTTGTGTATAACAACAAGATTTCTGTTTTACACAAAGGTTTGAGTTCTTCAAATTTTTAAATATTTTTTTTAGAAACAACATGGATCACCCTAAAGATATTATACAGAAATAATTTACCTGGGCTTTGAGCTCCCCCACAGAAAACTGAATGAGCACTGCATTAGGACTTTGCCCACAGTCTATGCGCTCCACAGTGCTGGAGTCAATCTTCAGCTCACTGCTGATCTCAGCACTCTGGATGAAGTCTTCTGTTTTGAGGTCCTCCACACGCTTTAGCTCCCCATCAGCCAGCTGGATGATAGAGCCTCGCATAAAGAAAGGAGGGAGGGCTACAGGAGAAGATGGGGAAGAGACGGAGGGAGAGGCTTGGACAGAGGAGGGAGAAAGAGTGGGCACAGGAGTGGGAGCTTGGGATGGAGCAGCCACCACTGCAGGAACTGGGTTTGAGGGCAATGCGGGCAAGGCTGCAGCCTGTGGTGGGGCAGAGGGTGGTTGATTTCCATCTGGGCCAAGAGCTTCACATTTAGATAGAGCTGTAGCCAGGTAGGCATGTGGCATGGCGGTGGATATTTGAGGGGTAGTAGCAGTAATGGCACTGACAGTGCGATTGACCTCTATTTCTGTGCCATTGTTGGCACTGCTGACTGGTATGAGAAGGGATTGGCCACTTGGGATGACCAGGTGCTGTGGCAGTGCTGCATGGTAGCTGACAGTATGTTGGTTCGCACTGGTGATGTAGCCAATGATGGGAGGCTGTGTGGAGGAGTAGAGACTGACTGGCAGTTCTTCAGGAGGCAGACTGGTTTGGATGACAGTATGAGGAACCGACTTGACCACTTCTGAAGAAGAAAGCGAAGTGAATGAAGAGGCTCTGGATACAGGCTTTCCTAAACAAATGCTTCCTTTCTCAGTCTGGACCAGGGAAATTTTATTTGAGCCGGGATCATGTTCCACTCCATGGTTTGGCTGGGCAACAAGGACCAAAGACGTCTGCAAACCTGCAGGGTTTTGGCCATAGTCAGCAGGTAGGAGAATATGCCTGGCCTCATAGCTCTGGACAGGCTGATGGTTGGCCCCAGAGACTTTGGCTTGTTTGACCACTTCCACTTCCCCATTCAGCACACTCTTTGCATGGGCTTCAGGTTTCTTTCCAGCTGAACCATCTGCATACTGAACCACAAGCTGTGATGGGGCAAGTGTAAGTGTTTGTGGGAGAACTGCTGCATGAGGGTGGAGCTGAAGGTGAGCAGGTGATGCTACAGCATTTCCACTCACAGTTAAAGGTGTTCTATTGTCCAGATGGATGTATTGATTGGTTACTTGGGGAGAACTTGGAAGTGTGACAGGAGCCAACTCTGAAGGGGAGAGTCCAATTTGAAACTGCTGCTCCCCTTTGGTGCTGGGTGATATAAGGGCAGTGGTGTAACCATCTATCTGGGCGCGTTGTCCTACTAATGCTGAGCTATTAGGCGCAGAAGTAGCATTAGTTGGAATGATATGAGAGGAGATGTACCCAGCATAGGGCCCAGAACTGATGAATTGCACATTGGGTCCCAGCTGGGTAAACTGGATTGTTCCAGCCTGTTGGGGAAGGGCTGCTGGATAAACTGCAGGCAGAGAGGCCAAGGGCACTGCAGAAAGGGTAGTTGCGGGGGAAGGGATAGATGTGGTAGGAGAAGAAGAAGATGTTGAGGGAACAGGACATCTTGGACTTTCTGTCTCTCTGGACTTGCAGCGTTCACTGGCCACACTTGCAAGCCAGGCCAGGTTTTCTGTGTGGGGACTGTCTGTAGGTACTGCAACAGGAGGTGTAGTTGCAGCTACTACAACTGGCCTCTGCTCCAGAGCCAGGATTTCTCGCTTCTTCGGAGGCAGGCATCCATTACTGCGCTCTTGATTGGCTTTCATGGTGCCCAGGATGTCTTAATGCTCCTTTGTACTACTTCTCTTCACCTATGAGAATATTTTCTCTGTGGTATTGTTCAGGGCCCTCTGTGTGCTCTCTTTGGCTTTGACTCGTTGTGTTCACTGATGGAGAACTCCAGCTGCCACACCAGAGAAGATGGAGTCATTCCAGCTCAAAAAATGAGCTAAACAAACTTCATGAGGAATCATATTTGACCAGTCCGCCTCTTCCACAATGTTGACAAAACTCTGAAAGTAAAGTAGACTTAAATTAATATGTACATGCATCAATACATACATTATTTTCATAACACTATTTTATTGCTATAGTCAAAAACAGTACACCCTTTTCACCATATATATAACAGATGTGAAAATGTTGCAAATATTTTCATATATATATATATATATATATAAATATTTTGTAATATCAAAATATTACTGTTTCCCAGTTAGTTCTTTAGCCAGTTAATTCTTTGCTCTGCCACTTGGTGGCACCAAGCATAAAGACAACATTTGACTCTATTTTTTTCATGCACCAGAATAAAGCTGTCGTTGTCCGAGAGTACCCTATGGAGATTCCACCCCCAGGATCTACAAGAACTTGTACTACAACAAAATCTTTTCCTTAAGGTGTTAATGCATAAGGACCAAACAGCAAAGAACAGTTTTGTGCATATTTAGCAGCACTTTGCTGAAAAGGTTACATTCAGTGGCTTCCTTAAGCAGTTTTCGGCTGTGATTTTTGCATTCAGTGTCGTTGATCGTACATAGCCATGGTCATTTTCCAGGGTCTGATTTTCTACAATGCCACAGTTTTCTTAAAACATTTGTAGAATTCCCTTCTTGTAATATTTGTCTTTTGCAGTCTCAAAATGTGTGTTGAGTCTTGAAATATGTAAGCATCACACTCATCCCCATAAAGGCACTCTGGGTCAGTAAGAACTGAAAAAACAACTTACAGGTGTAAAAAATTTGATTTTAAAGAATCCAGCCAGATCCATAAATGTTTTTTTTTCTTTCTGCAAATATTTTATTTTTTCTGAGCAGCTTTTGAAAGTATAAAGGAATACAGAATTTACAGCAAAAAATGAATGAGAGCATTTTGGAGTTTAGCTTAATGACAAGAAGACTAAATGAAAAGCAAGTTCTTGGCACATCTGGGTAATTAAATCCACTGACACACAGAGGACATATTAAAGTACTAGTTTACAATTGTTGCAAAAATGTTATTCTGTTAAAAAAATGTGAGCACTTAATATGTGCAGAAGATAACTATTTAGGTGTTCTGTTTAGTGTAAAGCCAGAGTAGTTGGAAGAATTAAAGTAACATTCCAAGATCAATGTAACCTACCATCTTAAATAACTCTGATCTTGAAAACATAATTGTGGTTTATGCCAACATTAGTTTATGAACTAACAATTATGTTTGAATTAGGTAGATATTTCCAATGAAGTTGAAAAATATTTAGAAAAGCAATGAAGATAGCAAGTTTTGGACCACCAATTATCCTCCAGCATGAAACGTGTATGCCTAAGTGTCAGGCTAGGGCAATTCTGTGATGCACAAGAACAGAGGTGTAAGAAGTGAAAATGTCGAGTTGATGCTGTTTTGTTACGTTTTACCCTGCTTTATTCCATTAGTAGTCAGCTGATCTGACTGGAAAAACTTTGCATGTTCTGTTTTCATGTTCTCATGCGCAAGTTTCAGAGAGGCTCATTGTCTCCTACATCTATTTTCCCTGTAAATAATCATCAACCTCCGTGCTAATCTCCTGAATGCAAAATGTTTAAAACACAGCCCTTTGCATAAACCGCTGAGATGTTTTTCAGATTATAGCTAAGGCAGCCTGCTTTGGCCTTAAAGCCTTGGACTAAGCTTTAGAAAGAGACCAAGTAACTTGTATTTATTTAAAAAGCAAAAAGAAAGACACCAAAGTGTTATCTACTGCAGGTGATATATTAACAGCTTATAACAGTTTATAACTTTTCAACATGTTGTACTGTCCCTGTACAACTTAATTATTCTCATCAACACCTGTCTTCCTTTTTTAAAATTAAATTCAAACATTTATTTACAATTTTTCATTAGCTTTTCTTTCACCATTTTTTTTTTTTTTTTTTTTGCCAGAGTTTCAGTTGCTTCCGCCAGGCTTATCTGTGAGTAAATCCACTGGACTCAAAGTTGTTCATTAGCCAGGAGCTCCACTGAAATGAACTCTCCATATATAGTACAGAAATACACATTCATTTTTCTTCCTGTGCATTCAGTTTAGAGGACCTTGACTTTACTATTCAACCACACCAGAGTGTTTTTATGTCAGTGGCTCACTACAAAAGACAACCACAGACATGTTACATAAAGACGGAGGGTGGAGAGGAAAAAAACGTAAACAGAAGGCAACTTTGGTCCTCTTTTATTTGGAAGCATCTACCTTTAGTGTTGGTTTCGACAAGGTCACTGCATCCACAAGCAGCGAGAACCTCCACACTGTTTACAGCGGAGAAGATTCGGCAGATGTAACAAAGGAGGGGAGCAGCAGAGATGGAGCGAAACGGCGACAAAAAGAGGAGAGCAAATAGAAAGAAGAGGGAAAAAGAGGCAAAAGATGCAGAGCTCAGTGGAAGGGTGGGGGGGAGAACAAGACAAAGGTGATAAGAAATGGGGAGGACATAGAGGAGAAGATATGAGTTCTGCTTTTCCCTGACCCACATTGAGCAGCGCCTGCAGCATCTAGAGCGCCATTGCCCCCCTCCCAGCCCTCCTCCTTGGCGAGAGATCCCCGATCAGCAACGCAGCCGCCGCTACAGTCTGTCTGAGCTACACTGTGCAGCACCGCTCTGCACTTTGGCAACAACCCCACCTCAGCAACACCGTGTCAACACTGTAATGACATCACATCTGAAGCACAGGCATCTCCTGTCTTCAAACCAGTGCTGGCAGACAAAGCCAGCTGACACACCAACAGTTTGAATGGACTGATCGGCACACACAAAGCTCAGCAGTCAAAAAGCCTCTCCAGATTTTCCTGTGTCAGCCTATAATTAGAGCAGTGACACCAACACACATAAGGCTTAGATGTTACTATGGAGAACAAAGGCGAGCCTTCAAGACTGTGAGCCACGCAGCATGGGAACCTTGACTCAGGACTGACACATCTGAGATGAGTGTACAGAGGGATGACAACACAGTGGAGTGGAGGGGACAGGACGTGCTCTGTTCAGCTCATCAATCAGACAGAGAAATGGACCACCATCCCCAATGTGTGGTCCCTTTTCTCCATACCAGAATGGTGCATGAACCTCCAAGATGGGTTTGCGTGGCTGAACCCGTTGTCTGTGTTGTCTCCAGGTGAGAGTCTCCCTAGCAGGGTTGTATCTCTTCACTTATGCTGCAGTTCCCAGTTCCTCCAACACCACCCACCCACCCCCACCTCTTTCTTCTCTGCCACAGCCATGAGTCTTCTCTCATGCTCCCACTGAGTGTTTACTCCTTGCATTGATCCGTTGCTTCATAGCAATAACATTTCTCTGCAGGAGGGATTATGCAGTGGTGCATCGAGAAAGAAAACCACATCTTTCTTGACGGTTTACTGAGATGTTGGAAAAGTGAGAGCAGACCAAAGGTCCCTGGGAGGGACATGCCATCTATACGATATTTGCCACCAGTCATAGAAACACAGTGATTACCCTGTCCAGCGAAAGGCTATATATAGAAAACAAAAACATCATTATCAATCTGAGCTCTGGCATGAAACAGAGAGGGGAGGTACTATGTAGGACAATATGTACAAGTGTTTTAACAGTCAATTGCTGCATATAGACAAGACGTCACCTTCTCTGGAGTGCAAACAAATCAGCTTTCAATGCCACAAAGCAGATCTGTAAAATGTAACGCTTTTTTCTAATATTTCAAACAGACATTTCCCTGTCTGGCTGTGCAACAGTGCCGCCTGCACCTTTAAGAGGCGGACCGTCCGTGTGGCAGCGACAGTAAGAAAAAGCAGTGGGGTTCAGGCTGTTTTGTCTTCACAATGACTCCAGAGTTCTGCATCACTGCTTGGCACACTCCAATCGCACCGTGCAACAAGCAAAGGACGTGCGCACACACACGCATGCAGGCAGGCAGGCAGCAAACGTAAACAGGGTCAAATCCAACACTAGGGACTTTGGACAGATCAGAGGACAGATACTGGGACTCCAGCCTCTGGGGGCTTAACAGTGAGAGCGCATGAGTGGAGTAGCAGGACAGAATTACTACTATGCCACAAATCAGGAAGAAAAAACACCCCCCCCCCCCCCCTCCCCTCCCCCTCCCCGAGTAATAGTACTAAGAATAGCTCACCAGTCTGTCCACAGCCACTGCCTGCAGATCATGTCCAGTGATTCTTCCTGTCAGTGTCAGTTTGTGTCTAAGTATCCCAGGATTCTTCTTCCTGATTCTGTCCTTTGTGCAGCTGTCTCCGTGGATTCCAGTTCGTAGGCTTACCTGCCCTTTGCAACGAGGGCCAGTGGTAAAAGGAAGTTCCCCAGTGCTGCAGACCCCACCAAGACCTGCGTGCAAGCTTGCTCCACTGAGTGTTATGCAAGGCCACCAGTCCGCCAGCTCCCTCTCTCCCTCTCTCTGCCTGGTTGCTTTTCTGTCTCCTGCTCTCTGTGTGAGTGAGTGTTTCTGCCTCCCTTCCTTTCCCTCCCCGTTTCCCTCCCTCCATCCCTCCCTCCTCCTGCTACTTTCTCTCTCAGTACTCCACTGACACAGCTCCTCCCCCAGCCAGCCTCATCAGCCGCATCAGGTATTCATTCAAAAAAACACACTCCACTTGGCTCGGCGCCCAGACTACGCTCACACTGAGAAGGAAGGGGTGGAGGGAGCAACAGACTGTGAGAGGAGGGAGAGACTGAGAGCTGGAGACTGAAATGCTTTGCTCAGACAGACGGGCTGCATGAATGTCAGCTACTGTGGGAGATTCGCATTGACATGTGCAAGCCCAGACAGTACACATGCATGTACTGCAAACCAGCATGGGATTAAAATGTTCTAAGTGTAATGCTCACGCGAATCCTTCTTTCAAATATATTTTTTCCCACTGAGGCAAATCTCTCTGTAATCTTCCATGTACAAGTGTGCCCTACCAAAGCTTTTTTTCCTCAGCTACAGAGGGTTTCAAAGAACCACCCAATGTCTTAAAGCTACAGGAATCTTTTCCCCAAAGGTATTTCCTTCAGCATATGGAGAAAATAGTGGTTACACCTCTCCCCTCCCAATCCAGTGCCTTTCTACTTGATTATCCCAAGCTACTCACACAGCAAGGTCTTGCATGGGCACCTCACCAATTGTCATCCTACTACATTGACATCCTACTTATGTTTCTCATACTCCTGAAAGAAAACATTGACAGAAGAACCAACTGCAAATAGATTTATGAAAACTGTTCTTGCATTAGTAATTTATACATGGTTCTTTGCCTTCTGTGTCTGTGTCTTGTCCTGTGATTGACTGGCAACCTATCTAGGGTAACCCACCGTGTGTTGCCCATTCACTGTCTCCAGTGACATTCACTGGAGACAGGAAGAAGCCCCCGCAGGGATAGAAAATGATTTAATGGATTACATCAGGAAACTCAAACTCCAGCCTCTGAAGGTTGGATTCATGCAACTTTTAGATGTGTTTCTGCCATTAAAATACTTGACAAAAATTCTCAGTTCATCGACAGATAGAAGACAACATGCTTAGGAGGCAAGTTAACCAAAAAACTCTTCTTTTAGCCACCGCCCTGTTCTAGTTTTCACCGAGCATGCTTTCTCTGGCTACTCACTGGGTCCTTGGTATTTCCCCATTGTCTCATATTCCTTTCTCCTTATGTTTCTTTGTTTGGTATAGCCATGTTGATCCCAAAGACTGTACTCTGCCGCTTATCATCAGTGGTTACAATGTCCAGTTGGATGGCCATTATCATTTTGTTAGTTTGTCTCTCGAAGTCACGCGGCGTCTCAGCTCGGTTATTTTTCACTACTTTGGTCGTAATTCCTACTTTGGATTAGGAGTCTCTAGTTGGTATTGTAGGCAGATGTCTCTGTATTCCATTCCAGCTCCTTGTGTATGGTCCTTTAATAGCTATAGAAATACTTAATATTTTTATATTCAGCTGGGAATTGTATTGTTGCAGTTGGCTTAGCAGTGAGATATTATCCAATGTTTTGTTTCTTTCCTAAATGATCCAACGTCAGTTTGCACATCATTCATTTGGAGACAAAATCATATGGTTATTACTATGTAGCTGCTATACAGAGCTCCTTTTCTTGATAAAATATAGTTGAAAGCCTCAATCTGTAGCTCATATACCGGTTTGTTTTCACTCTTCATCACACAAAATAAAATCAGTTAATGGGACTCAGACCAGGGATCAATAATAAAGTCTGAAAGGGACTATTCTAAGTCAAATATGATGTAATTTGCTTTTGTAACTCGAATCAGAGTTTAAAACAGTTCAAAGAGTTTACAATCCTCTAAATGGTGCTGTTATCCCTGTTGCTTGTGCTACCAATTTTATTCTTCCACTCAACTTTTTACAGCATTCTGCCAACAGCCAGCTTCTTATTTTAATGACCTTTTGTTGTCAGTGACAACCTGTCATGTCAATAGTTTCCCCTATGATTGTATGTCATAACATGGCCAAAACGTAATATTTCTGTATTAAAATTCCTAAATTCATTGGTCTTATGAAATATTCTTTTTTTTTTTTTTCCAAAAAACTGGGGGTTTTCATTTAGTTTAAGCCATAACCAGTAAAAATCAGCAGACGTAAATATTTGAAGCAATTAATCTACATACTATATTAGTTTGACATTGTAAACTGAATTACTGAAATAAATTAAGTTTTGTAAGGTATTCTAAGTTTATGTGTTGCAAATGTGTAAAGCAACTGTTTTGCAGGAGCTGCTCGGAGGTGAAACACAAATGTCCACAGTACTGGCACACAGATGTAGGCCCTCATAATAATTGCTCATACTGTGTTTCCTCAGCTGTTCAACTTGACAAAAAATGTCCAGGGTGTTTTCACTGCCAAGCAGCTGCAGCTTCATTTTCTCCTGTGACTCATATTTCTTCAAGGAAAAAAAGCTGCCAAGTCACTTTTAAACAAACAGACTATAAAGAGCTATACCCAATATTCAAAGAATTGAAAGCACCACCATGTCACTCTCAAGTGTCTCAAATAACACATTGTAAGTGGACATAAATGTAATTTGGTGTGAGCAGAGGAGAGCCAAAACACCTAGTTTGCGTTGAAGGCAGCAAAGAGTTGAAGATGAGCAGTGGACCTGAATGGAGGACAAAATTCTGTGGCTTGAAGCTCAATCATATACTTCAGCACAGAGAAAAACGTCCATGCTTACACTTATAGTGTTTACTGTCGTCCAACCAGCTGAATGTATTCTTTTTATTTTGAGCACAGTCAACTGCAGACTTTCCAGCGAGTGCTACATTCCACATTGTGGTGCAAACAAAATGAGAGGGCCGTGGAAATTCATAACAAGATTTGTGTCATCTTACAAATAGTATACAAAAGCAAGCCTGAACAGTGCTGGGCTAGTAAGAAAGACTAAGAGGGAAGAAGAAGTGGAGTTTTTCAACAATTAAATGTCTAATTAAGCTGCCATTTAATATAACAAAAGTGGCTATGTAAGTGTAATCTTTATCCTTTCACATTTTTATGTGTTTGGAAAGTTGCTGTGAAAAAAATAAAAATCAATAATGAAAACTAAAATGACTTCTAGCTACAGCAGTTTATGTCACTACAAGATTGCAACCGGAAACACAAGTTCATAATAGTTGTAAAGAGTCACAGAAAATTATGAATAATATGAATCCAAAGATATGGAGAATATTACCTTGAAATCACTGTGAGTCACACCGACAGTTATCCAACCATATATTCTACCTCTGTGCTCCTCTTCCTTACCACCACTAACACAAAATAAATTGGGCCACCAAGACTGCAGGAGACATGTCCAGACATGAAACACTGATCCACATGGGACAGGAGAGCATGTGCAATGGCTGTTTCAGAAAGATAGGCTTCTTTTGCAGGAACAAAACAAAGTTTTTCAAACTCAGTTCGTGATGTCTTTGCATAGATTTCGGCCGAAGTGTCATATTAAGAATGACTCAGCTGATGTATTTTAGATAAAGAAAAAACACAGATGTTCGTTTGTTTAAGCATAATAAAATATATGATATATATTAAATTGTTTTAACTAGGATTTTCTTTTTAACTATTTATGACAGAAAGTTATGTAAATAACTCATTTATTTAGAAACAAATGAGCCATTTAGTTCAATTTTTTTCAATGAAACTAGAGCCTTGATTACAGAAGGCTTCGCAGGGAAGCACACACCTCATACTTGTAGGTATTAGCCAGGCTATTTTTTTCATATGTTGGGAATTTTCCCCTGGTGCACAGTTTTTATTCTAATCCTTATTTTAATTTTAATTTTGTTATAAACACGCATGCTCCCGCTTGCCTTAACTTGGTGCTGTGACACCTGAATTTCCCCAATAAACTGTGGAAAAAAACTGTGCGACAATATGATACTTCTTCTATATTCTGAAATTATAGTGGATTGGCATATTTTCAGAGGTAGATCAAAGTAAATTTAGGTGCTTTTAAAGCATACTGCATTTTTTTTGTATTACAATAAAATAATATGTTTTAGTAAATAAACAAGTTTGATCAAAATCAGCTGAGTGCTTCTTGTGACCATAGTGGCATATTGTTCTTTTTGGTCCAAATGTGGTGCCTATGTATTTATAATTAGCTATCAAGTAAACTTGAAAGCTATGCAGTTTGTGAGAAAAAAAAACTACTTCTGATGTGTGAAAATGGCACTTTAGAACAAACTTCTAGGCAAAAGAGCACCCAGGGAGAGACACGCATCTATAAAAATGATAATAGAAAGTTTGGTGTGTGTTGTAGGCTTACGGGGGGCCTGTGGTGGAGGATCCGAGGGGTAAATAACCCCAGCTCGCTCCTGTCTGAGTGCAGGTCCATCTCTGCCACTGCATACTCCACACTATGTGGGGAGAATGTGAAAGCAGTTACTGCCATGGAAACAAGAGGCAGCTCCACAGCCTCCAGTCCCCATTAGGAAGGATGGGCGGCAACGTGGCTGCAGCTCAATGGTGGTGTAGCATGACACTCTGAAAGAACCTATTGAAAGCCAGTGAATTCAGTAGTTAATGAAAAGAGCAAAGGGACAGCAAATCCTGTACGCAGGTGATACAGAAATCACCGTCCTTTGTAACATTGTGCTCCAATTATATTCATAAAAACCAAATCTATTTTTAACAGTTTCAAACAAATAGAAAGTTTGTTTGCAAACTTTAGTTTTTGTGTACTTTTGTGAAAACTTGTGATGTCAAGAAGCAATCTAACACATGTAAGAGAGTGTGTAGCTTTTTTTATATATATAAATAAGCAGTAGTTTTGTCAGTATTCTCTGTTGATTTCAAGAAGTTGTCGCACTTACTAAGGCCTTAAAAATGATGTAACCTTCACATAATGATGTATTTCTTACCTCAGGGACTCAATCTGGCAAAAACATGTTTTAGTGCAAAAATGATTCATTCTGTAGTTGAGCTAATAAAGTGGAGGAGT